ACTTCCATTCATTATTGCACCTTTTAACTTTGTAAATATACATTTAGCTTTTCTTGAATAAGCTCTCTCACAGACCTGACGCCTGCTTCTCAGAATTTACCTTACCTGTAAATAGCTTTAAAGAGAAATAAAGAATATATTGTGCATTGCTTTAACTTTGGTCCTTCAAAATTTTGGAGTGTCATCCATAGTAATGCAGAAAACTGATATTTTTGAACCATATTTTGATAGTCATGTATAGCCGTGTACATATGCAACTGTTAGATTTGAGTGCCTTTTGTTCTTTGCATCTTTGCCATTGCCCATCAGTTGCCTTATTAAATCTTTCCTGTCTTCAAATTTTCATGGTATCAATCTTAGCATCATGCTCATTTAATAGAAAGAAAATATTTATTTATAAATTCAAACACATTCAGAAAATGTGTTGAGGATTGATCATTAAAGGGGTTGGCAGCTGGCAATAAAAGCAACCACCAAGCTTGAGCTATTTTTGACCACTGTTGATTTCATGCAATTTGTATAGCCTCCTATATATATCTGTGGTCTATTGATCTGCCAGTGCAAATTTCCTGTGGTCTTTTGACTTGCTTTCCTATTAAGAGACTTTTCTTCCTTTTGCTTGTGCAGCTGAGAAACACAACAGTGATTAAGGTGAAGGGAATTAGACCTTTTGGGTGTGAGGAAGGAGTATGGGGCAAGCCATCAGGCCCCTTTGGCTTCCACTGGAATTTATTCTCAGACTGTTCTGATGATAAAATCAAAGGAGCATCGGAAGCAAGAAATATTGTAGCAATGGGTGATTTCACACAGACTGGCTACATATATCTTCCTGTTAAAATTTCTAGATACCCTAAATGGCTGTGCCCTAAAGCAGTGATCCTAGGCTGCATCTCCTGTAGCCAAGCTGGTGCCAAGCTTTCCTTTAGGCCACATCAGTGAGGCTGAGAGAGGGGTTTTGACATCTGGACAGCCCAGAACCTCCATACACACTGCCCAGGCTTGCAACTTGAGGAGGTCACATTGGTGCTTGCTAATACAGCTGTTTTGTTTCACCCCTGGAGGCAAACTCCATTGTCACTTAAGACAGGCTGGTGCCAACAAGAAGAGTTGGACATGGAACCAACTGTTCCATGGGTGGGTGACCCTGGACTTAAGTGGGTTCACACTCAAGCCCAGTTCCCCCAAATACCCATTGGTGTTTTTCCAGGCAATAGGCATCTGGTGCAAAATGCAATTGTGGTTGACCAGTTGGGAGCAGCGACAATAGGAGGAGGAGTTGAGCTCACTCAGGGAGGGGTTCTTCCTGAGGAAATCATGCCCAAGGTCCTCCAAAAGCTGCAGGCAAGAGTGCTCTCCCTTCCCCTCAACTTAACCCACTACTTAACCCTTCCCCTTAACCCACTACTGTCATCATTCCCTGCCAATCAAATGTTGATTTGTTTTTAGCATCCCTGCATGCGTTACAGAATGGCTCTCTTGTTCTCCAGCTGCTGAACTACTGCAGGGCATAGCTGTCAACTTACAGATTTGAAAATAAGGGACCAGCAGCCTTGAAAATAAGGGACCAGCAGCCAAAATAAGGGACCTGTGGCCTCACCTGTTCCAGGCACTCCAGTCTTTCTGTCCTCCTGCAGTCTGGTCAAACTCATGCTGGTAGCTTCGAGAACACTGTCCAACCAACTTTGTAACCAGAGGTTCAACTGAATAGAATCTGAATTACATGCACCACAAGGCCTATGCAGCCTCAACTTAAGATGGCTCCCCGGCCTGGCTTTGCACTGCAAAGTTTGCAGCAGCACGTGCAACAAAATGGCATCCAGCATTCAAAAACCCCCTCAGCTTGCATTAACTAGCCACACACAAGGCATGCAGGCTCCACCCCCCAGTCGTTCTTAGACTTCTTATTGGGTGAGCAACACAGCCAAGCAACACAGTTGGAGCCTCCCTCCTCCATGGCCGGGAGGGAGGGAGGGAGAAGAGCTGCTTCCTTTGAAATTTAAGGGACATCATTTAAGGGACATCCATCAATAAGGGACAGCAGCGGGACATGGCGCTGGAATAAGGGACTGTCCCTTCAAATAAGGGACACTTGACAGCTATGCTGCAGGGTCCGGCTTTGAAGCCACATGAGTGCTACCATCATTTTTCCAGAAAAAAATGGATCAAGGGGATGGAGCAGCTTGCCTATGCAAAAAGGTTGCGGCATTAGTACTTTTTGGTTTAGAGAAAAGACGACTTAAGAGGTGGCATGATAAAAAAATTACGCATTGCATGGAGAAAGTGAATAAATTTTTTCCTCCCTCTCATAAGCACCAGAGACATCTAGTGAAGCTGAATGTTGGAAGATTTGGGACAGGTAAAAGAAAGTTATTTTCCACCAAGCAGATAATTAAGACTGGAGCTTGCTTCCATGGGAGGTAGTGATGGCCACCAACTTGGGTGGCTTCACAAGAGGAATGTACAAATTTCTGGAAGATAAAGCTGTCCAAGTCTGCTTACCATGATGGTTATATTCTACCTCCACCTTTTGCTTCTACCAGTTCCTGGGATTTGCAGGGGGGCCAAGTACTCTTGTGGGCATCCCACAAGCATCTGATTGGCCACTGGGAGAACAACATGCTGGACAAGATGGGCCATTGGCCTGAGCATCTCTACCCGGACACTGAGGTCCAGCGCTGAGGGCCTTCTGGCGGTTCCCTCACTGCGAGAAGCCAAGTTACAGGGAACCAGGCAGAGGGCCTTCTCAGTAGTGGCACCCGCCTTGTGGAAAGCCCTTCCACCAAAGAGAACAACAACTACCAGACTTTTAGAAGACATCTGAAGGCAGCCCTGTTTAGGGAAGCTTTCAATGTTTGATGCATTACTGTATTTTAATATTTTGTTGAAAGCCGCCCAGAGTGTCTGGGGAAGCCCAGCCAGATGGGCATGGTATAAATAAATTATTATTATATTATTATTATTCAGCACCAAGCTATTTTTACGTCCTTGTTTCTTCCTGCAACGTAACTAGAGATCACCTACTGAATTTCTCATGGAAATAGAATTAGCTTAATTAAGCAGTCAGCTGGAGTATTTTAACCAATTCAATCTAATGTCCACATTTCACTAGAAGTTGATCAGCAGTACCAAACGACATGGGCTCCTCATTTATTAACTCTGAACCTTTTCCAGTAAAGCCTCTAATAAAAAGACCTTCTCATACTTAGCTGATTATCATGTGGAGTTCATTCTGTGATCTCCTAATAACCTTTTAAGCATTCTTTTTATATTACTCTTGTCTTTCCATTGGATCTCCCTTTTGCTCTGTCTTGGTCAGCTGTTTCATGAGCAGAGCTTCGCTGATGCAGCACAGCTCTGATATTACAGTTTGCCATGCAGCACGGCAATGTTTTTGAACTCCTTGCTCAGCCACTCCAAGGGCTGTGCCTTACGTTAAATCACAGCTTATCTTGGTGACAGATGAGAGGAATGGCCCCTCCAAATGTCCTCTTTATTAAGCATGATGATTTGTGCTCATGATGGCATTGGAGTGATTTCACGCGGTTCTGCTTGTACCTGCAAAAGTTCTGGGGAGAGTGCACTCTCCGGCAATTGATGTGTATCCCACAGCTTCCTGTTAAAACCCTCTAACTTCATACACCGCAAATGCGGGGTAGGATGGGCGTTGTCTCGCTTTTGTTGTGTTAAAATGAAAGGGTGCCCTTCCAGAAGACAGTGATACGCTAACGTTGAGGAACCATCACAGAACAATGAAGAAAGTGGGATGATGCGCAGATAGGTAAAGGTAAAGGGACCCCTGACCATTAGGTCCAGTCATGGCCGACTGGGGTTGCGGCGCTCATCTCGCTTTATTGGCCAAGGGAGCCAGCGTACAGCTTCCGGGTCATGTGGCCAGCATGACTAAGCTGCTTCTGGCGAACCAGAGCAGCGCACGGAAACACCGTTTACCTTCCCGCGTGCTTTCGAACTACCTTGACGTGCTTTTGAACTGCTAGGTTGGCAGGAGCAGGGACCGAGCAACGGGAGCTCACCCCATCACGGGGATTCGAACCGCTGACCTTCTGATCAACAAGTCCTAGGCTCTGTGGTTTAACCCACAGCGCCACCTGCATCCCTAAGCTCCAGTATAAAAACCCACCACTGGCACAACTTCTCGTGTCAATGACATGCTGCAGAATGCAAAAATGAAACAAAACACCTGCCTGGAGGGAACCAAAGTAGAATCATAGTAGAGTTGGGACCGCAAGGGCCATCTAGTCCAAACCCCTGCATTGCAGGACTCTCTTGACCAACCTTCCTCAGAAAAAATCACTGTGAGGAAGGTGGCCATGGGAGTGCCTGTTGAAAGTTTCACCTTTTAATTTCCTTTTTCAAGTTTCCCGTCTGGCATTCCAACACAGACCCTCCAAGTGTTCCTATTTTTCAGGAACAGTCAGATGGACGGGTTATAGTTATTGTTATTAAATAGGGTGTCCCTGAGAAATGTTGGAGAGTATGACCTAAGTCTTTTAGTTTTGACTGTTAGTACTGAAGCTGGGTCTGGATTGTGTTGGTGTACCACTCACTTAGCTGCCTATTAGTCTTTCCCTCACCAGACTTAATAGTTGTCTCCCCAGCTGTGGGGGAAATAAATTATCGTTGGCATTAATGGGAGCACTGATTGCAGCAATGGGTGGAAGTAGATGTTCCTTGGGATCACAGCTGGGGAGTGAAGAGTTAACCTTCTCCTTCCTGTACACTGGTCCCTATGAGAATTTTCCCCCTTCTCAGCACATTTACATTTATTTCTTAAGTCCTGGTGTGGTTGCTCATCATGCGATAAAAGTAACAACTCGTTTAGTCCTCAGATGCAACGAGAGACAAATTAATCACACAATTCTGAGTGCTAGAGCTGTTGTAAAAAAGCCTCAGACAAACTTCTCTGTGCTAGATCAGAATGACGGCAATCATGTTAAGTTATGTCCTGGTTTTGATAATACACATTGAAGATATCTACATACCATATGCTAACAAGCTGGGTGAAAATGAGAGATCTTTGCTGTGATTTGAGAGCTGCATCAAGTTGTCCTCACCACAGTCAGAAAATGTGACCATATAAATGATACCTTGAGCCATTTATAGTCGACTAACAAGACAGCAATGCAAATATAAGCAGAAAGCCTTCTTGCGGAAGACTTCTTAGCTAAAGTTTAACAAAGTTAAAGGAACTTTAGCAAATGTTTGGTCAAAATAATGTGAAAGAGAGAAGCTTTTACTGAACGATGTTTTCATTTGAATTGTGAGCTGTGTGGCTTTTCAACTACAGTAAGTCTTCAATGGAACAAACGGCTATTTGCTCTAACGGACATCTCACAGCATTTAATCTGGATAACACTCCCAAGTATTTAAATTGTCCGACTATCAGGAGCAGAAGGGGCATTTGAAAACACAAAAAAGTTGGAAATGGTATAGCAATTAGAACTCAAAAGGATCTGGCCAATTAAAGAAGGAGTTCTGATCTTCTGGTTTTCGTGTACTGTCAGGACATGGCGCTTGCTTCCGTGAATGGGGGAGAATTTGTGAAAGTGGCTTTTTTTCCCAGATGAGACTTGTCTGAATCGTACTGTCTCTAATTTTCTTGCCTGTCTTTTGGCTAACCCGAACGGCATCCTCTTCAGTTGTGTTCTGCTGCTCCACCGGCTTTATCATAGTTCTGCCATCACTGACGCTAACTACATTTGTAAGTGGCATGTGAGATTTTACCTGCGAGGATGTGCGGTGGTCAGTGGATGAGGGACTTCTTTGGCTTACAGACTGCTGCCTTTTGACAAGGGACTGTGACCTGACACCCTGGTTTGGGTTCTGAGGCTGTTCCTCAACCTCATCATCTGCAATTGTTTCCTCTTGGGCTTCTCCCTTTTCTTCTTCACCAGCAACTCCACTTTCCTGAGGTTCATTACTTTCATTGTTACCCTCCTCATTAATTTCACTGTTAGGTTTTTCCTCCTGGACATCAGAGACTTCTTCATTTGTGATGCTGCTCTCAAGAGCTTCCTGATCAACCAGGCCTTCAGAATCCCCCATCCTTCCTATTTGTCTCCAAACGACTATTGTCAGTCAGTCCGCTTGGAACAGATGCTCAGCATTTCCTTTTTCTATTAGCTACCTGCAACGTTAGCACGTCTTTCCCTATTTCCTTCTTCCTTCTCTCTGAAAACAATACATCAAGAAGAATTGGGAGGTGTTTTCCCTCTTATTTCGGTATGGCCCCACCTTCATGAAGTCTCATCTGAGTTCAAGCTTGTATGGCTGTTGCATAATGGATCCAGATGGGCTGCAGATGTCTTCTTTCCTCTTTTTCCTGAGAGTGAGTTCACATCATGGCATTGATACAAAAGCCATTGCTAGGTTGGAAAAGACTTAGGTGGAGTCTTTCTGTTTTTACTGTAGCTGCTACACTGTTCTAGAACCTCTGACTGATTTCTATGACATCACTGTCTGTTCTACATCTATGCGTTCAGGGATAGGCAGGCTTCTAGATTACACTGTCTCCTTTCCTTTGTTTTTTTTCCACTAGAAACTCTGTGGTCCACCAATTTGTTTTAAGTTTACAGCGCAAGAGCACATAGCTGGAATATATTAAGGCAAAATTGATTTATGTTTCGTGATCTATGCTCTTGCTTCATAACAAAATGGCATGTTGGATGTGATCAAGAATCACAGTGTTGATAAAAAATGGAACCAAGGAAGGGACTAGGGGGAAGTCATTTGTTTTGTTTTAATTTTGTATTGTTGGTTTTATTTTTTGTTACTTTTGGAAAATTAATAAAATGTTATCAAACAAAAGAAAAAAGAACCACAGTTTCTTGGCAGTATAGCTTAGGCTGGTACACTAGCTATGACACTACCTTGCTTCAGTTTCCCATGCTTTGGCAACTTCCAGTTTGGATTCACTCAATATGAATGCAAAACACACGGTACTGATTTTAGTTCAAAGCAGAATAGAAATGTCATTGCCCCTGCAAAAAACAAAACACACTGAAAGATTTTGGGCATAAGGCCTTCCTTTGCAGGAATGGCTTAAATCCAAACCATGCATGGAAAGCATAGAAAGAAAGAATGGGAAGTGCTCTCCCCGATTTTTCCATTAGCTGGGTATGTTTAGCTTGAAAAGAGGAAACTGAGAGGAGATATGATAGCCATCATCAAATATCTCAAGGGCTGTCACATGGAGGAGGGAGCATGCTTGTTTTCTCCTGCTCTGGAGGGTAGAACTCAAACCAATGGCATCACGTTACAGTGGTACCTCGGGTTACAGGTGCTTCAGGTTACAGACTCCGCTAACCCAGAAGTAGTACGTCGGGTTAAGAACTTTACCTCAGGATGAGACAGAAATCGTGTGGTGGTGGCGCGGTGGCAGTGGGAGGCCCCATTAGCTAAAGTGGTACCTCAGATTAAGAACAGTTTCAGGTTAAGAACAGACCTCCAGAACGAATTAAGTTCTTAACCTGAGGTACCACTGTACAAGACAGGAGGTTCCAACTAATATTAGGGAAAACTTTCGGATTGTAAGTCTTCCTCTGGAGATGGTGGACTCTCCTTCATTGGAGGTTTTTAAGCATAGATTGGATGGACATCTGTCATGGATGATTTAGTTGAGTTTCCTGCATTGTAGGGGCTGGACTAGATGATCCTGTGGTCCCTTCCAACTCTATGATTATATTAAGTTCAGTCACTGGGTGCATTGTGGTAATGATTGACAGGTGGAGGGTCTCACCTGTTGACAGATGATTGACAGGTGGAGGGTCTCACCTGTTGAAATGGCCTGCAGGCAGGATCAGCCCAATCAAGAGGCAAGGTGAGGCAGTGACTGCCTCAGGTGGCAGGATCCACTGTGGTGGCGGATCCCAATGTGGATCTTTCTTTCCCCGCTTGTTCCTGTTGTAGACCTTCACCCCTTTTTCTCTAGTGGGGGATGGGGCACCATTTGGGTGTTCCCTACTTGCTGGGGTGGGGAGCATATTAGCCACCCATTTTCTAGACAGGATTGTAAATTATATGTGTGGGTAGGAATTGCATTATTATTATTATTATTATTATTATTATTATTATTATTATTATTAACTTGTACCGTGCTCAGTCACTCTGAGTGGCTTCCAACATAATATAAAACAACATAATGAAACACCAGACATCAACAGCTTCCTGATACAAGGCTACCTTCAGGTGTCTACAGACTTTAGTATAAATGTTTATCTGGTATGTCCCACGGAGGACCTTACGGTCTTCAAACAAAAACACCTTGGAGGTCCCGGGCCACAGAGAGGTTAGGCTGGCCTCAACCAGAGCCAGGGCTTTTTCGGCTGTGGCTCCAATCTGGTGAAACACTCTGTCACAAGAGACTAGGGCCCTGCGGGACTTAACATCCTTCCGTGGGGCCTACAAGACAGAGCTGTTCCACCAGGCCTTTGGCCAAGGCACAGCCTGACCCCCTCCTTTGGTAATTCTTCACAGAACTCTAGCCCAATGCTTGCCATCAATTTGATTTGAACTGATTTTATAATGAATTGATTTTAGAATGTTGTATTATTTTACTGTTGTTAGCCGCTCTGAGCCAGGCTTTGGCTGGGGAGGGCGGGATATAAATAAATTATTATTATTATTATTATTATTATTATTATTATTATTATTATTATTTATTATCTCTTTGACTACTGATGAGAGGGCATTACACAGGGCAGGCCCTCTGCCTGGTTCCCTGTGACTTCACTCCTCACAGTGAAGGAACTGCCAAAAGGCCCTCAGAGCTGGACCTCAGTGTCCGGTCTGAATGATGCAGGTAGAGACACTCCTTCAGGTATACAGGACCAAGGCTGTTGAGGGCTTTTTAAACCTCAATGCCAACATTTTGAATTGTGCTTGGAAATAACAGACAGGTGCCATCCCTGTTGCATTTCCAACACCTGCTGGAGACCTTCCGCTTTCAACAAACCTTTGAGGTGGAGATCTTCCCCAGCATCTGTGTTCCAGATATTCTTGATGTTTTAATTATTTTACTACAGTTGTGTTGCCAACCTGGACTCCTTGGAAGGGGGGTGGGATGTAAATTTAATGATAAAGAAATCTGCACCGTTAACTAGGAGCATTGAATTTATTGAACACTATTGCCAGTTTTAAAATTGACCGGTGGGCAAAGTTGATGAGAAGCACCCCCACCCCCAAGATGCAAAATGAAGGTGAGGGGCCCAAGGTCCAAATCAGAACCACAGAAGGGTTAAACATCCCCTTCTCCAAGGTAGGATTGACTCATGTCTGCAATTTACTTTTAAAGAGCCAATCGTGCAGTTGCTGATCACATGATTCATGGCATTTGAAAGAAGAAGATCGTACATAATCATCGGGCTCTGGGATGACCTGCGGAACTACGTTCACTAGTTTCTGCTCTCGTAAGAGGAATTAGCATTTTGTCCAGTGGAGGAAAGACATAGTAACTTGGAGAACAGCACAGATACTCTGCCAGTGTTCTTCAACCCCAAAAGAAACTTGTCTGCATAGTACTGCATTTAACTTCTTTGCCTACATGTCAGCTTAGCCAAATGGCATCCTCCTCAACATTAATTTACTTCCTTTGCTGCAGCTGCTTAGTTGTTTTGCTCTGGAGGTATCTTTGCTCAATTGATTGTTGACTGGACTGCTGAGATTCCTGATCCGCTGGCTGTTGGTGGCTGCTAGGAAACGCTTGCAGCAACTGCTTGATTTCTGGGCCACTTGCCTTTCTGCCTGTAGAATGCAGGTACTCTGAAAGGGTTTTTCCGTCCCAAAAGAAAGTTGTTTGAGTAGCACTGCATCTAAGCTCTTTGCCTGTTCGTGGGCAAATCCAAACGGCACCTTCTTCAGTTTTAGCTTTCTTTGATTGCTGGGGTGGGTAAGCTTTGTTTCTTTCCGGAGACTGGTTCCTGTACTTGTATTCCGCACCTGCACCCGGTGGTTGACTGCCACTCCCGCAATCCTGCCCCACTAAAAATTGGAAGCTCGGGACCAATTTATACAAGGAAGACTCTTCAGGCTCTGAGCCCCCAGGAGGAGCTGCGCCTTCTTTTGCACCTCTCCCATCTCTCT